GAGCGTCACTCCATTTTAACCTCGTCTAGAGGTTTTTCATCTGATATCACTACTTTTGTAAGGCAATTATTCTCGGAAAAAATACACTTTTGTCAGAAATATGTCTGTTTTAAGGTCTTATCATTGGGAAATTATAATTTTTCGGGTAAAACATTTGCATATACATTTCACAAGTTTTGTAAATAGCAAATTTCCACTTTCATTTAAAAAGTCCCATTTTCTCCTTATTGGAAATTGTAAAATGTGATTAAATTTCAAAATATCCATTAAAAGAGTTTTGAAGTAATTTTAGACACATTATTTCATTGAAACATATTAATTTCCAACCACCAAAGCTCTGGAAAGTGCATTTTTTATGTATCCCCCGAACAAAAGTTCAATTTCATACATTCAGATGCCAAAATGCCGATTTATGACCAAAATGACAACGAAATGGATATTCAAGTGTTCGTGGACTCCCATTATTTTCACGAAAAAATAGCAGTTTTCTAAGACCAAAATGACATCAGAGGTGTATTTCACGTGTTTCCGAACAAAAATGTCATTTTCAGTGAAAATAGAGCAAGTTGAAAAATTCACTTCAATCCGACCTATTTTTCGACCATGAAATGCCCTCAGATTGCATTGTGACCACTTTTAATCGATTGCTCGTCGAAAATTGAGCGGATATGGTCTTTCGTGAACCTCTTTCAGCCAGTCAATGCGTATTTTTGGCAGCAATTTCATCGTAGAATGCGACTCTTCGTACAAATTCCGTTCATTGATGAATTGCCTATGCCCAGAACTTTGAAATACGAATTTTCACGGATATGTGGCATATGCCATTTTGTTGGTATGGTGGCCGGCTACAAACGCTCAGTTTTTGGTAAAACTTTGTAGGGCTGATTTTTGAGAAATCGCGTTTGGTGTTAAATTTAAGGGGGTCGATTTTTCATAAAAATCGACTTTTTTCTTTTATATCACATAAACATTGGCATGTGTGTATGGAACTTTTTGAAGGTCTTCTCAAATAATTACGAGCTGACTTTGTCCGATGGGTGTCTGAGTTGATCTAGTGTGCGAAATAAATACTTGAAAAAATCGTATACATGCAGGCTAGTGAAGCCATAGCCAGCTCTCCTGTAATGAAAATGTCAATCTGAGGACGGGTTTCGATGTGGCCCGACACTAGCTACAGCTCAGGCATATCGGCACCGGAATCTGTGGGGGTCAAAAAAGTTTCCGGACAGACGAACGAACGAACGGACGGACGCACAAATCAATACTAAAAATCAAGATCAAACTGCCAATGCCCATAACTTTTTCGTTTTTGGACCAATCAGGATACTTAGACCGGCGTTGGAAAGGTGGCGAGGAGGAGCTTCTCTTGGACACCTCAGACCACCCCCTGGGTACCCCCTTCGTAAGATATGGGTATAGATTTCAAAATTTATGGAAATTTTCCAACCGCTATATTTTTGTCTAGACCACACTTTAATCATGGGGGATATGATGTTTCCGACTATTTGGGCCAAGACCTTTCCAACGGTACTTAACATGCCGGGGCCCAAATAGTGTCCTGAGAAAATAGCATATTTACTGTATATATACTCGTGACGCAAAAACTGGCATTTTTTGATATTTGGCTTGAAATGCACAGTCTATGGTGCGTCACTTGTCGGACTACCGTCCTCCGTGATATTGGTTCAAAATTGGTTTGATCTTTTTCATCGATTTGTATTATTTTTCAGGTCACAAGGATGTCGTTGAATTGCTTCTCGAAAATAAAGCCAATGTTAATATTAGAAAAGGTGAAGCTCTTCGTTTAGCTGTTGTAAATGGTAATGTTGAGTATTCATTTTCGCTGAATAAAAAAGATTAGTTTGATCTTTTTCATCGATTTGTATTATTTTTCAGGTTACAAGGATGTCGTTGAATTGCTCAATAAATATAATGCCAATGTTAATTTGCAAGATGTTTATGGTCGAACACCTATTTATTATGCTATTCAAAAAGGTATACTATTTACAATGGTAATGCAGGATGTTAATTTTCAAAATATTCACAGAGAACTAAAATTGTGTCCGCAAGAGGTCAAAGAAAGTGATCAAAACCATAGAAAGACAAAAAATATTCGTGTTGTTAAAATAATGCAGTCAGTAAAATTGATCATTCACAAACTTTAAAGTCAATTCATCTCACCTTCACCGCCGCAAAGACAAAACAGATATTTTTTTTTTTGTCTTTTTCATGGATTGGACCGCATTCTTTGACCTTTCACGGACAAAATTTCAATTTTTACTTTTGTGTGAGTAAGAAATTGGTTTGATCTTTCGAACTGTATTATTTTTCAGGCCGCACGGATATCACCAAACTTCTCATGGAAAATGGAGCCGTTCATCATTAAATCAAATGAAAATTGCACAATGCACACTCCAATGAATCAACGCAGTGAAGAGACATCACATTCAAATAAAATGTTTGTTGAAGAAATCCAACGAAAGAATATCTTACCGATTTTTTGTTTCTGTTTTATACATCCCAGATTATAAATACTTATTTCCGTGTGTGTACACTGTACATTCATTGGAATCTCAGAATTCTTGAAAAGCTGTCCATATCTCTATAGAAAGTGTTACTTATAATTATAAGGCAATGGTTTCGATGGGCTTGAAAGTGAATCGTAAAATATCGGTGGACTATAGAAATCGTCAAATTATTTTCGAGTCTAACACCTTAATGATATCACAAAAATGACAAATAAAAATTATTTGAACACACCTGAATGCATTTCGAACTGTACACAGTTCATCATCAGCATCACGACTGTTGGTTAAATTGTCGCTTCGGCACAAATTCGTCATCTCACTCATCATTCATTAGACAAAACACAAACTCACACAAACACAAACGCATAACGAAACGAATTGTTTTTGGTAACAGTTAAATGAGACGGTCGATAAGGCTTGATGTGATATTGCCTTCGTCTAAATTTATTGCGTTCGGGTCTTTTTTAATGTAGAAGTATTCATAGGCGTCGACTCGACGGGTGCTATCAAGGTGTTCTCGTAGAGAACATATACAAAAATGAGGTTACCTGGATAAAAAATTGACCAGGCGGCCAGGTAGTCATTTGAGTTTGAAAAGCGATCCAAAAGTGGTGTCCGTCATTTTGCGAATCGATGATGCAAAATTTTTCTTTGAGGTCACTGCTGTGAACAGTTCCAGCACCATGTTCGCTATTTTGCACATTTGAGGAATTGGAGCCTCGCGCACCAACTTCATGTGCTTGTCATTGACCTTGAATTGTTCGCTGTGTCTCAATGAACGCCCATGATTAAATGAGACTTTGTCACTAACTGTTAGACAGTTAGCGTTACCGTTAATGATGTCGTAGAAAAAAGTCAATGACGCGTTGACACTTCTACGGCGAAGACTAACCATGTTCAAGTCTGACAATCGCTGCTCGTACGATGTGATTGAGTATTGGTTGTGTACGGATGGGTATTCTCGACGAGCGTACATAGTGAATTGGCGTTGCACGGATTCAATTTTGTCACTGTGGATTTTGTGGAATGGAAGCCATACCATGGCGCAGTAATCGAGGTGAGATTGAACCAATGCAAAATACAGCGATTTTAGTGTGGTAACGTTGGTGATATCGTGGCAGAAGCGTTTGACAAAGCCAAGTGCAGCCGTTGCCTTCGAAGTGACCATGTCGATGTGTTTGGCAAAAGATAGTTTTCTGTCAATTAGAACACCCAAGTCCTTGTGTTCAGTCACTTTGTCGAAGGTGTGGTCGCCATAGGTGTAGTTTGTTTCCAAATGCTGACGTTTCTTGTATTGGGTCAATTCGAAAGTTTCCGCCGCTGACATTTAAATGTCGCCACTTGTAACTGAACGTAGCTTGACAAGTGAATCCAATTGCATTTTGTAGATGTGACATTTAGCAATCTAACTCAGAGCAGAAAGATTCATTTTTCGTTCTGCGTCATTGTTTTTGAATCGATTGAAAATGGATCGTGATAAGGTGTTTTTTCGAGGGGCCCTTCTTTTCTTATTTGATTCGAAGAAAACTGCCGCTGAGGCTCATCGAATGCTGTCGGATACTTATGGCGAGCAAGCTCCATCGGAACGAAGCTGCAGAGAATGGTTTCATCGATTCAAAAGTGGTGATTTTGACTTGAAAGACAAAGAACGTTCAGGTCGGCCAGAAGCGATTGAAGATGTCGATTTGCAAGCATTATTGGATGAAGACCCAACCCAAACGCAAAAAGAACTTGCATTGCAGTTAAACGTCGGCCAAACAACCATTTTCAGACATTTGCACGCCATGGGAAAGATTCGGAAGCTGGGAAAATGGGTTCCACATCAACTGTCTGAAGAGCAACTTCAAGCACGAATCGCAATATGCACAAAACATCTTGCAGAGCACAAAAGAAACAGTTTTTTGTATCGGATTGTTACCGGCGATGAAAAGTGGGTTCATTACGAAAACCCCAAGCTTAAAGTAGCGTATGTTGATCCCGGCCAACCGGCGCCATCCCAGCCAAAACGAGATATTCATTGCGATAAGGTTATGCTGTGCATCTGGTGGGATATGAAAGGAGTCGTGTATTATGAGCTGCTAAAACCAGATCAAACGATTAATAAGGAACGCTATCGAATGATTTGGCTCATGCATTGAATGAAAAACGGCCATTAATAGCTCGAAAACACCACAATGTTTTGTTCCACGATGACAACGCTAATAGAGGTGTCAACGGACACGGACAAAAATTCGGACAATAGTGTCCGTCCGTCCGAAAACCGAAAAAAAAATTCGGGCGTCCGGTCCGAATGTCCGAAAACCGAAATTTTTTTTCGGACGTCCGGTCCGAATGTCCGAAAACCAAAAAAAATT